GCCTTGGCCCCAGCAATGCAGCCTGCCATGAGGAAAAAGGGTAAATAAGGCTAAGGAGCTCTGTCATTCCCTAAAGAAGGAGAGCGGGGATACCTTGGAGGAGCCCTTTCAGAAGAGACTCATCCCCCTCAAAGAGACAGAGGAGCTTTCAGATGACCCATTTAAAGATAGAACAGACTCTCTCACATAAACGATAGAAACTGATGAGTTGTGTAATGTCCCCACTTAAGGAGTAAAGAAAGGCCTTCACATGTTTAGTTGTTTTATTTAGGGTAAAGGAGAGATCTCTCGAAAAAAATTCGAAGGGCTCTGTCATTTCTTATGAAGAGATAAAGGGCTTCTCTTATGACCTCTTCATTGACAGAGAAGCTATTTCTGAAAAAATTGACATAGTAGAGAGCTCTCTTTCTTTTCCTGCGCAAAGCTAGCGGAGGCCTCTCATGACCTATTGCGAGACTGAGATAGAAGATAGGAGATCGTAGAGATGTGAGCTCCCCTACCCAGTGTCGGGAGATTAAGACGCTCTTATTCGTTTGCGAAAGAGTTACTCTATCTCTGAGTAGGAGATGAAATAGCTCCTCCATCTTCTCATAGGAAATGAAAGAACACCTGTGTTTTTTGTATTTGTTATATGGTTACACCAGATTGACCAGCAGCCTCGCCCACCTTGTGCCAGTGTGACTGTGAGAGTCGAAACTTCATTTCCGTATGTCATATGACAACGACTACTACGTGTTGAATACATCTTGTACAACAAGTGCTCTGAGCGAAAATGTCTTGAAGATTTCAACAACCATACGTCATATATATATATATATATGGTCACCCCCCCCCCCATGATCTAGGTTTTGCTTTGTCTCTATAAAAACCCTCGTAAATACCGATTAAAATGACATGCTGGCTATGCTAGGCGATGTCCTGTTTTTGCACGTCTAGTCCTATGCGAGAAAACCTGTAAATAGTGAAAAACGCGTGTGTTTAGCACTACTTCCACATCACCACATAAAAAAACACCCCAAAAACACAGGAAAATGCAATTTGGTAAACATGTCTATGAATTATTTGCATAGGACAGGCTTATAAACACAGAATTGTATGCAAAAAACACTTCTTTTTTGCAGAATTTGCAAATTTTGACACAAATCCAAAAATCCAAAAATCCAAAAATTCAAAACCATGGAGCCGGGAGGCCGCCTTTTTTGGATTTTTTGGTTTTCTCGAGGTTTTTTTGGTTTTTTTTGGAAAAATCCAAAAAAAACCATGGTTTTTTTGGATTTTACTTGCTCCTGGCCTCAAAAACCTAAAAAACACATGGTTTTTTTTGGATTTTGAGTGAAAATCCAAAAAAACCCTCGTGTTTTTTTGGATTTCAGGTGCTCCTGGTCTCAGAAACTAAAAAAACACGAGGGTTTTTTTGGATTTTCACTCAAAATCCAAAAAAAACCAATGTGTTTTTTAGGTTTTTGAGGCCAGGAGCAAGAAAAATCCAAAAAAAGCCATGGTTTTTTTTGGATTTTTCCAAAAAAAACCAAAAAAACCTCGAGAAAACCAAAAAATCCAAAAAAGGCGGCCTCCCGGCTCCATGGTTTTGAATTTTTGGATTTTTGGATTTTTGGATTTTGGGTTTTTTTTAAGCAAATTTTGCAAAAAATACTTTTCTTGTATAAAGAATGTGTATTGTTATACGTTGTTTCTGCTAATGTGACTGCCTTGCACACACACAGAGAAAAGCACACAAACACACCCACCATTCGTTTTTTTTCAATTCAGCCTATTCGGTATGCAGGGCGTGGCGTTAACATGTAAAGTTCCATTAGATTTAATTACGAATGAGGCTTAAAAGAGGATGTCTTGGGATGTGGCGTCTTAATATGAAAAGTAATAAAAAAAAGAAATAGAGAGGGTTTCTTAGGGTGTGGTTCTTTTGAGGATGTGGACCTGCAATTCAAAAGTCTAATTGGACTTAAAAAAGAGTGGGGCTTCGAAGAGGATGTCTTGGGGTGTGGCCTCTTAATTTAAACGTCTATTTAAGTGGAATCACAAAGGAAGTCCAGTTGAGGATTTCTTAGGGTGTGGTGTTTTAGTGCAAACCTCAAATTACATTTCATTACGAAGCGGGGCCAGAGGAGACTTTCACAGGGTGTGGTCGGTAAAATAAAATTCCAAAGAGGTAGTAACGAATGAGGCTTAGAAGGGCGTGGCCTCTTAATTGTTTTACTTGGTTTGGTTTTACGAACGAAGCTGTGGCTTTACCATACACAGGTCTTAGGGTGTGGCCTTTTAAATTCTGTCCAAAGGGGTGTGGCCTCTAAACTTAAAATTCAATTTAAGTGGAATTCCAAACGAGTCCAGATGAGGATTTCTTAGGGTGTGGCGTTTTAATACAAACCTCAAATAACATTGTAGTATGAAGCGAGGCCAGGGGAGAATTTCATAGGGTGTGGTCTGCAAAATAGAATTCCAAATAGGTATTAACCAATGAAGCTTAGAAGAGGATGTCTTGTGGCGGGGCCTCTTAATTTGTTTGTTTGACTTGGGTTTAATTTACTAACGAAGCTATGGCTTTATCATATACAAGTCTATTGACATTTCACTAATAGGCACCAGAAGAGGATTTCATAGGGCCTAGCGGTTAAATATGGAATTGTAAGTACATTCAAATACAAATGGGGGCTCATGATATAAATTTCTGTCCAAGAGTTACATACGAACCTAGCCTAGGTCACAACTTCTTAGGGTGTGGGCTTCTTACCTAGAATTGTAAACTTCTTACGAGATTCTGTTACGAACAGGCCCCAGAATGGTGTGGCTTTTTTTAATACAAGCATCTTGGCAAATCGAAAATAAGTCTAATTACAAACGAAGGTCTAATGAGGATTTCTTGGCGTGTGGCTTTGTAATACAGAATTCTAATTAATCTTCATTACAAATAGGGGCCAGAAAGGGATTTCATAGGGTATGGTCTGCAATATAGAATTCTAACTCGGTTTCATTGCGAGGAGGAGGTCCTGGGGTTGGCCTCTGAATATACACTTGCTTTACTTGGGTTCAATTACGAACGAAGCCCAGAAGAGGATTTCTTAGGGTGTGGGCTTACAATATGAAATCAAATTGCGTTTCATTACGAATGGGGCCAGCGAAAGATTTCACAAGGTGTGGGAAAAACAAAAATGTTCTAAATAGGTATTAATCAATGAGGCTTAGAAGAGGATGTCTTGGGGCTGGGCCTCTTAATATTTTTTTACTTGGGTTAATTACGAACGAAGCTGTGGCTTTATCAGACACAAGTCTACTGAAATTTCATTAAGAGGGCCCAGAAGAGGATTTCATAGGGTGTGGCCTTTAAGTATAGAATTCTTTTCGTAGGGTGTGGGCTTCTTATGTAGAAGCATTTTCTCAATAAAATAGGAAGGAAGCCCAGATGAGGATTTCTGAGGCTGTAACCTCTGCATATAAAGCTCTTGTGAGATTTTGTTACGGACAGGCAGGCCCCAGAAGAGGATTTCATAGGGTGCGGCTTTTAATTGGCAAATTTAGATTTCTAAAAAAAGTTTTACTACGAATGAGGCCAGTGGCCTTTTAATTTTCATTCCGACTTAGGTTTAAATCTCGCTTCGATGGGCCCGAAAGGCCTTTCGACCTAGATCATGGGGGGGGGGGTGAGCATATATATATATATACACTCATATATAAATCTATGTCACATATTCTGTGTTGTGTAAGGGCAGGTTTCTCGTGCCCACCTTTTATTTCAGATTCTTGTTTATGAGTGTCTACACAGGCAAGATTCAATGTTTGATTCGTAGCACTTGTGTTTCCTTTGGTTTGGACTTTGGATTGAAGTGTTTGTAAAGGCAGAGTTAAACTTGTATTCTTGGTTGAAAATGTCTGTCTAAAGGTTTTGTCCGCGTTGCAGAAGTTAATGTTTGCATTTGGTTTGGTGTTGTGTTCAAGGGAATTTGCGAGGAGGAACTTGCAATTTACGGTTGGTTTGATTTTCGGTTTAGTGCTTTAACTACTTGCACAGACAAGCTTTAAGCTTGAAAAAAAGCGGTTCCCACATTATACGTAAAGGTCCATGGCACATAGGGTTTATATAGGGTTTAGGGTTTAGGGTTTGGGGTTTAGGGTTTAGGGTTTAGGGTTTAGGGTTTAGGGTTTAGGGTTTAGGGTTTAGGGTTTAGGGTTTAGGGTTTAGGGTTTAGGGGGACCCTGGGCCCCCGAAGCTTTGGCCCGTACAGCACCCCTAAGCCCTAAACCTTAAACTGAAAAACCTCAACCCTAAACCCTAAACCCTAAACCCTTAACCCTAAACCCTAAACCCTTAACCCTAAATCCTAAACCCTTAGCCCTAAACCCTAAACCCTTAACCCTAAATCCTAAACCCTTAACCCTAAACCCTAAACCCTAAACCCTAAACCCTAAACCCTAAACCCTAAACCCTAAACCCTAAACCCCCTCAAGGCCCCACACCTACAACCCTCTGGGTGCAGGCCTAACCTACTTCGGCTATACAGGCGTGAAGGCCTTGCCTGGAAACCCCGGCTCTCTCGTGACCGGGCTGGGTTTAGGGTTTAGGGTTTAGGGTTCAAGGTTTAGGGGTCAGTGTTTAGGGTTTAGAGTCCAGGGTTTAGGGTTTAGGGCTTAGGGCTTAAGGCTTAGGGTTTGCGGTTGAGGGTTCAGGGTTTAGGGTTGCTTCTTGTCTGTTTTTGTTACTAGCAAAATCTCGGGTTCCTGTTTTGTGAGTGTAAGCAACAGCTGCTGCATGCAGAAGGGCAGATTCTGAAGCTTGAAGCGATATGAGCTCTCCATCTCAACGCCAAACCCTAGGTCAGGTTCTGTGTCCCTAAACCCTAAACCCTAAACCCTAAACCCTAAACCCTAAACCCTAAACCCTAAACCCTAAACCCTAAACCCTAAACCCTAAATCCTAAACCCTAAACCCTAAACCCTAAACCCTAAACCCTAAACCCTAAACCCTTTGGAAGCTCACAGCCTAGATGTCCATGATCGGCAAGCTCGTTATGAGCCAATCGATCGGCCTGGCTGGCCTCATCTACGCCCTCATCGTACATTACAAGGTGGGAGGTTTAGGGTTTAGGGTTTAGGGTTTAGGGCGTAGGGCATTAGGGTTTAGGGTTTAGGGTTTAGGGTTCAGGGTCTAGGGTTTAGGGTTTAGGGTGAGCCAGCTTGGAGGCCCGCCTAGGCCCGAAACAGACAGTCCGAGGGTGGCGTCGGCAGGTGTAGGGTTTCGGGTTGCCCTAAACCCTAAGCCCTAAGCCCTAAGCCCTAAACCCTAAACCCTAAACCCATAACTCCTACACCCCAAGCGGCAAATGCAGGCCTTTGGTGTTCCGCCGTCCCCGGTGGTCCTTGTGGCGCAGGGCATGTCTCCCCACCAGGCGCAGGGTTTTAGGGTTTAGGGTTGAGGGTTTAGGGTTTAGGATTTAGGGTTTAGGGTTGAGGGTTTAGGGTTTAGGATTTAGGGTTAGACTTGGCAAGAGGCCCCATTCCCCGATAATTGCGGAGTTTTACGTTTTGTTCTTGAAATCCGAATATCATCGAAGGTAAGGTCCACCCCCCTTAAACCCCACCTACACCCTGAACAGCTCGTAAACCCCAAGTCTAGGGCTGGTTACACCGTCCCTGAATATGGTCCCGTATCTTCTTGAGGGGTTCTGAGGTACGGGGCCTGGCTTTTATAGGATATATTCAGGTCTAAATCTGGGTTCTCAAAAGAAGGGCCCGTACTATACACCTTCAAACCTCTCAAAAACTCGCAAACTTAAACCCTAAACCCGAAAACCCTGAACCCTAAACCCTAAAGCCTAAACCCTAAACCCTAAACCCCTTAACCCCAAGCCCTAAACCCCAAGCCCTAAACGCTAAACCCCAAAACCCTTTAACGCTAAACCCTAAACCCTAAACCCTACACCGCCAAGGCGGCGTGCAACCTGGCCCTGTTCCTCTTCGCCGCGCCGCTGGCCGCCCTCGTGGCGCGGCGGCAGCCTCCAGCGCTGGGGGCGCCACTCTTGACCTCGACATGAAGCCCGGAAGTGTAGGGTTTAGGGTTTAGGGTTTAGGGTTTGGGGTTTAGGGTTTAGGTTTTAGGGTTTAGGGCTTAGGGCTTAGGGCTTAGTGCTTAGTGCTTAGGGCTGAGGGCTGAGGGCTTAGGGTTTAGGGATTAAGGGATTCAGGGATTTCGGGTTTAGGGTTTCGGGTTCGGGTTGAAAGGGTTAGGGTTTAGGGTTTAGGAGGGTTTTCGTGGCATTAGGAGCGTGTGACTTGGGAGTCTGGGGGTCTAGGCTTTGGCGGGGGTTTGGGGTTTAGGGCGTAGTTTCGGACTTCTCTAAAAGCCAAGAGTCCCCCGCAACTCCGGTTCTTGAGGGCGCGGCTTGTGCGCCACACACTTTTAAGCCTTGTAGTCTTGCATGATGGTCGTTTAGGGTTTAGGGGTTTAGGGTTTAGGGTTTCGGGGATTTGGAGTTACCGCTTAGGCGTATAGGGTTTATGGAGTTTCGGCTCGAGACGCCCTCAGCCCTGACCCCCGAACCCTCAAGCCTACAGCTTCTGGCGTGGGGGGGGGCTTCGTCGAGACAGCTGCCGGTGCACAAGACCACCTGGGCAGAGGGAACAAGGAAGTTCGGTTGGCGCAGTTGCTGCAGCCAAAACAAAGCCTTGAACCCTGTTACTTCGAGGTTCATGGTACCTAGTAACCCAATCATAGCTGTACTAATCACCCTATTATAACCCTGTCAGGGTACTTAGGGGGGCTTATAAGTGGGTTTTAACTACACTTTCAATTGGTTACCCCTAAACCCTAAACCTTAAACCCTAAACCCTAAACACTAAACCCTAAACCTGGTTACTAAGTACCCTGAACCTTCAAGACCCTAAACTTGAGAAGCCCGCGCGCGTCGTGGGGAGGCCTTGGTGCGAAACCTCCAAGCCCAGCACGCCCAGGGTTTAGGGCTTAGGATTTAGGGTTCTTTTCTCTCTCTGTGGTTCTGTACTGCAACTTTAGATCCTTTTGGGGCTTAGTGCTTTTGTGATTTAAGGGTCTAGCCTGCTTGGGTTTACTGGGATTTCAGGGCAGTTAAGCGTGAGACTTGTCCCAAGATGTCAAAACGCCAGCCGGTTTTCGCGGGTCCTGGGATGCCCCTTCTCAACACCCAGAGTAACAATGTACCCAAAGCCCTGAGCCCTAAGCTCTATAAGCCCTGTAAGCCCTAATAAGCCCCAAATCCTAAACCCGGAACCCCCGAACCCTGAATCCTCAAGCCCAAATCAAAGCTCGAAAGCCTTCTCAAGGAGCGGACCCCCTGGTTCTTGGTAGAGAGTGGGGGAATGAGGTACCCTATATATATTCCCTTAAATGGTACATAAAGGGGATACAGGCGTACCTCAAAACCCTAAACCCTAAACCCTAAACCCTAAACCCTAAACCCTAAACCCTAAACCCTAAACCCTAAACCCTAAACCCTAAACCCTAAACCCTAATACCCTAAACCCTAAACCCTAAACCCTAAACCCTAAACCCTAAACCCTAAACCCTAAACCCTAAACCCTAAACCCTAAACCCTAAACCCTAAACCCTAAACCCTAAACCCTAAACCCTAAACCCTAAACCCTAAACCCTACTCAGAAATTGCCAGAGGAGGATGCCTTTGGGATGAGGGCTCGACCCACCGTATCCTTCACCGGGAACGTGGGCGGGAGGCTCAGCCTAGGCACCCAGATCCTGACGGTGCGCGGATCCGGGTATGGGGTTTAGGGTTTAGGGTTTAGGGTTTAGGGTATAAGGCTTAGGGTTTAGGGTTTAGGGTTTACGGTTTAGGGTTTAGGGCTTTGGGCTTAGGGCTTAGGGTTTCGGGTTTAGGGTTTAGGCGGCCCTAAGCCCTAAGAAGACAGCAAGTCTTCTGCGAGGTTTCTGGGGACTCTGCGCTGTATCAAGTTCTGCATCTTGTCAAGTCTACAGCCCTGGCAAAGCCCAGAACTCGAGAAGGTTGTCGGGCTTTAGGGTTCAGGGGCCTCAAGAAGTTCAAGCCCCCAACCCTGAACCCGAATTATAGAAACCCTAAATAACGATACTTTGTTTACGAAAATGAGGACCCCCAACATAGCCCCCCCAAATAGTAGGAGCCCCTTACAGTAAGGACCCCCAATAAGGCACCCCCATTCGTTGTTGGCCTTTATAGCAGCTTGGGTCCGGCATCTGCTTTGGGGCCAGTGGGCCCCTGTCTAGGCTTGAGGGAAGTTTGGTATTTGGGTAGTTCTCTAGAATAGGGTCCCTTTTGGGGGTCCCCTATAAACTACGGCACCCTGAAAATAGGGACCCCAAAATGGACCCGAAATTTGAGAACTGATCATATGGAGTAGGGTGTTGGATATTGGGTTCACCCTGGCCCACATAGCCCCCCTGCAAGCAGTCTCGGGCGTCTCTCCGCCCATACTTGAAGGTTCATTGACGTGTAAGGTTTAAGTTTTTTCAAGATAGTACTTCATGAACGAGTCTGCATATTTAACTGCAAGTCAGCTTATTCTGGAGTGAAGGAAAGGAACAGGGGGAGAACAGGCCAGTCTCATGTTCTCGCCAGGGCATGGTTTTCAAAACCCAAAACCCCTCTGAAGGCACCCTCTCCGTGCGCTTCCACTGCCTTCCCACGGCCTTCGACCACATTGAACTGACGGGACCCAAAGCGGTGGACGGCTCAGGGTTTGGGGTGTTTAGGGGTTCAGGGTTGAGGGTTCCGGGGTAAAGATTTAGGGCTTTCAGTTTTTAGGATTCAGGGAAGTTTACCATTAATTGTCGGATAAGTCTAAGGCTTAGGTGTTCAGGGTTTCGGGGTTGCAGAGAAGACGTTAAGAAGCTCTAGTGTCGACCCTAAACCCTAACCCTAAACCCCAAACCCCAAACCCCAAACCCCAAACCCCAAACCCTAAACCCTAAACCCTAAACCCTAAAAACGCGGGTGCTTTGGGAGACTTTTCGGGCCACCCGAAAGCTTGTTCCATGAGCGGTTTCCATTACGTCAGGCCGTTCGGGACCACCGAAAACCTCTCCTGGGCAGAGGGTTTAGGGTTTAGGGTTGGGGTTTAGGGTTTAGGGTTTAGGGTTTGGGGTTTAGGGTTTAGGGTTTAGGGTTTAGGGTTTAGGGTTTAGGGTTTAGGGTTTAGGGTTTAGGGTTTAGGGTTTAAAGGGTCGGGTTTAGGGCCAATAGGCCACGGGAGCTGAGAGTGCTTCACTTTATAGGGTTTAGGGTTTAGGGTTTAGGGTTTAGGGTTTAGGGTTTAGGGTCTAGGGCCTAGACAAGTCCTCAACTGGTTGCTTGTTTCTCACCCTAAACCCTAAACCCTAAACCCTAAACCCTAAACCCTAAACCCTAAACCCTAAACCCGAAACCCGAAACCCGAAACCCTAAGCCCTAAACCCTAAACCCTAAACCCTAAACCCTAAACCCTAAGCTTTTGGGGAGCCGAAGGCTCCCTCTCCAGCTCTTGTGGTGCGAAGGCCCCCTCTCCAGCCTGATCCGCCAAAGAGGTCTGGAAAGGCGGTACTTGTAATACGCAGGGTGTCAGAAGTCCATTCCGGCCCTAAACCCTAAACCCTAAACCCTAAACCCTAAACCCTAAACCCTAAACCCTAAACCCTTAACCCTTAACCCTTAACCCTTAACCCTTAACCCTCAACCCTAAACCCTAAACCAGAAAGCCTCCCCGCAAAGGTGCTCTCCTTTCGGCTCTTTCAGGGCAGCGCGAGCGGCGACCTCAGGCATGTAGGTTGATAAATCCAGGCGCTGGTCACTTTCGGGACATGGGGTTTAGGGATTTCGAGGTTCAGGTTTTCCCCCAAACCCTAAACCCTAGCTCTAAACCTTAAACCCTAAACTCCTACACCCTGAACCCTAAACCCTAAGCCCTAAACCCTAAGCCCTAAGCCCTAAACCCGAGGATTCAGGGTTTAGGTTTCGGCTTCAAGTCTCAGGGTATGGGGATTTGGGCTGGGTTTAGGCTCAGGGGGGTTCAAGGCAAGCGCCGTATGAGCGCAATACATGAGCAGTGTGGTGCCTTAGAATCCAGGTATACTTCAGGAAGCAGCTACTCGAAATACCGCCTCCATGTGAGTTGGTGGTGTTGCATGGTTTCCTCTCGGGGCGTGTCTTCCTGGAGCGTTGAAGCAAAACGCCTCGAAGAGCGATCCCTCAGCCACTGAATAACCGATTAGGGAACCTGAATAGTATGCCATAACAGTGGTGGCAACAGTGAGAGTGCCTAAACCCTGAACCCTAAACCCTAAACCCTGAACCCTGAGCCCTAAACCCTGAACCCTAAACCCTATATAAACCCTAAACCCTAAACCCTGAACCCTGAACCCTGAACCCTAAACCCTGAACCCTAAACCCTAAACCCTAAACAGCGGACCTTCAAGATTGCAATAGCTCCAAGGCATCGGCGTGGATGTCAGCTCCCTGTCGCTGCTTGGTCCACCCCTGCCAGGTGGTTCCAGGCCGAAATGCTCTGGTAGGGTTTAGGGTTTAGGGTTTAGGTTTAGGGTTTAGGGTGTAGGGTTTAGGGTTAAGGGTTTAGGGTTTAGAGTTTGGGGTTGTTTAGATGTTGGGGTTCAGGGCTTAGGTTCAGGCTCAGGGCTTACGAAATGCTTCCAGCGGTTTAGGGCTTACGGAATGCGATGTTTTTTTGGCAGGGTTTACGCAGTGTTCTTGCGGAGGAGACACCACAACCCGAAAGCCCCAAAGCCCTAAAACCGTAGTCCCTAAACCCTAAACCCAAAAACTTGGGATGCTCCCCCTTATTATAATGACAGTCCTGATTCGGGATTTATATAGCCGGGGTACCATAACCTCTGTATGACGGAGTTCGTAGAAGGGGGAACATCCAAGCCTAACTAACGCCCGAAAGCTCTGTCCTCTAAACCCGGCAGACCCAAGACTCTGCGCTGAACCCTGAAGAGCTTTGGAGGCCCCCTCTGAACCTGGTTCTCAACTTCAAGCCATGGGCTCTTGGAGTCCTTAAGTCGTCTGAAGCCCTTCAACCCTAAGCCCTCACGCCTTTAATTCTCGCACCTTCGAAACCCCGGAAGGCCTAAAGCCCTTACACCCTAGAGCCTTTACTTCCGTAAGTGGCCCGTTACCTTGTCAACCGCCTCGCCCGCCTCGCTCTGAATAGCCCCACCCCAGAACCCTTGTCCCCTAAACTGGGGCTGATTGATCCTAAACCCTAAACCCTAAACCCTAAACCCTAAACCCTAAACCCTAAACCCTAAACCCTAAACCCTAAACCCTAAACCCTAAACCCTAAACCCTAAACCCTAAACCCTAAACCCTAAACCCTAAACCCTAACCTAAACCCTAAACCCTAAACCCTAAACCCTAAACCCTAAACCCTAAACCCTAAACCCTAAACCCTAAACCCTAAACCCTAAACCCTAAACCCTAAACCCTAAACCCTAAACCCTAAACCCTTTGCTGGTATCCTCAACTATAAGGGGAATCTTGAAGCATAAGGACAACCAACAGGGACCATAATGCCCCTTAAACCCCTTACACCCCTTGATCAATCCCCTCAAACCACGTACAAAACCTAAACCCCTAAAACCCCCTAAAACTCCCTAAAACCCCCTAAAACCCCCTAAAACCCCCTGAAACCCCCCTAAAACCCCTAAAACCCAGCCTAAGCCCCCAACAGCCTAAACCCCTAACCCTCCTAAACCCCCCTAAACCCCCTAAAACCCTCCAAAAACCTTAAACCCCCTAAACCCTGCACCCTACCCAGACCCTAAACCCTAAACCCTAAACCCGAAACCCTAAACCCTAAACCCTAAACCCTAAACCCGAAACCCTAAACCCTAAACCCTAAACCCTAAACCCGAAACCCTAAACCCTAAACCCTAAACCCTTAACCCTAAACCCTAAACCCTACGACTCAAGAGCCCCCAGGGCTGAAGCCCTGACAGGCTCCGCCTGGCTCATGCGGAGCCTGCCTCGCAGGTTCAGGGGCTAAAAAGGGTGGTTCGGGGTTTAGGGTTTAGGGTTTAGGGTTTGGGGTTTAGGGTTTAGGGTTTAGGGTTTAGGGTTTGGGGTTTAGGGTTTAGGGTTTAGGGTTTGGGGTTCGGGGTTTAGGGTTTAGGGTTTAGGGTTTGGGGTTTGGGGTTTAGGGTTTAGGGTTTAGGGTTCGGGGTTTGGGGTTTAGGGTTTGGGGTTTAGGGTTTAGGGTTCGGGGGTTTAGGGTTTGGGGTTTAGGGTTCGGGGTTTAGGGCTTAGGGTTTCAGGTCAAGTCTTCGGGTCTTAGGGGTTCAGGGGTTTTGGGTTGGGTGGCTAGGTTGAGTTGAGGGTTTAGGGTTTAGGGTTTAGGGTTTGGGGTTTGGGGTTTAGGGTTTAGGGTTTAGGGTTTACGGTTCATGGTTGAGGACTTAGGGTTTAGGGCTTAGAGGTTATGGGGTGAAGCTAGTTGTGCCCCCCCCCCCCCTATCCCCAAAAACCCCTTTAGAAGCAACCTGGCGGCCCGGCAGTTCAATCGTCAACTTCGCAAACACACCCGAACCCTTACACCCTACAAGTTCGTATAACATGAACACCAGAGCGCGCCCCAGCAACAAAAGGAAGACAAGTTTCCAATAGAACAAGCAAGAGGCAAGAGGTTGCACCCTACAAGTTCGCCTTAAGTTTATGAGTCAATGAAAGTTCAACCACAATAAATAAGAAGCAGGAGGTTGAAGGCCCTCCGACCCGAAAATTCGACAGTCTCCCGCCTCACAGGCGCCCGATGCCCGCGTCGGCTTGGGAGTCGTTGCTGCCTGGGAAGACAAGGCGACGTCAGGGGGATTGAGGGGGTTTTCTAGGGTTTCTCCTCTTTTTTTGAAGGTTTGTGAGGGTTCTTTGAGGGTTTCAAAGATCTTGACTTAAATACTCTTGCGATGCCTTAAGGGCAGTTGACTTCTAGGCAGTGGGGGCTCTAAAGTAGGATTTTTGGGACTCAAGGGTGTTGAGGGATAGCTTCTTCGGGGGTTTCGGTCTTTTGGGGCTTTTGGGGCTTTAGGGTTTTGGGTTTTGAGGGCGCAAGGCCTCTTTTTGTGTCTTCGGGGTTTGGGGCTTTCGGGGTTCTAGGGTTTCCAGGAAGGGCTTTCGGGGTCTCATGGTTTTCAGCATGTTGTGGGCTCCGGGTTTAGGGATCTTTCAGGCTTTTGGGGTTTAGGGTTTAGGGTTTAGGGTTTAGGGTTTAGGGTTTAGGGTTTAGGGCAACTCCTCCCCCCCGGCCCCCCCTCCCCCACCCAGGCCCTCAAACCCCCCAGACGCCTCGAAGCAAGCTCCTTTCTGGTACAACGCGAGGGCGCACGAACATGAGGAGATCTTCTGACCCGAAACCCTAAACCCTAAACCCTAAACCCTAAACCCTAAACCCTAAACCCTAAACCCTAAACCCCAAACCCCAAACCCTAAACCCTAAACCCTAAACCCCAAGCCCTAAACCCTAAACCCTAAACCCCAAACACCCCAAACCCCAAACCCTAACCCCCCCCCCCCCCCCCCTCATAGTCCCTAAATCCTAAATGCCTTGGTTCCGTCAGGCACCCCCAGGAGTCTCAGGTATACTCCCTGACTCACGCGGTCTTGCGCATCCTGGGTGAAGCAACCAACAGCCTGGAACCCTAAACCCTTTACCCTAAACCCTAAACCGCCTAAACCCTAAACCCTAAACCCGAAACCCCCGAAAGCTCGCCCAGGCGAAGGCTTCGGAGTCCGAGAATGCGGACCTCAGGACAAGCCATGGTTCTTGCCGGCTCTGATGCTCGGGGTTTATGGAGGTGGCACCTGGGCCCAAGCCCTCAACCCCTAACCCTAAACCCTAAACCCTAAACCCTAAACCCTAAACCCTAAACCCTAAACCCTAAACCCTAAACCCTAAACCCTAAACCCTAAACCCCAAACCCTAAACCCTAAACCGCTATGCAACGGGGATGTGGTTGTTTCCCAAAAATAGGGGTACCCCTTTTACCCAAATAGAATAGAATCCCCTTAAGCAGCCAAAAAAGGGTACAGTACCCCTATTTTCCTTTGTGGTACTTTACTGTAACTTTAGATCCTTACCTTTTTTGGGTTTATTGGGTTTCTTATTCAGGCAGCTATAAAGTTTAACTTATAGCTACCCTCCTGAGTGCAGCCAAGTTTCGTAAGGCCCCATGTAGGGGGGGATTGGGCTTGTCTTCGGGGAAGAGGAGAGGCCGGCTATCGACAGCTTCAGCTCGAAAAGGCCTTCAATGATCAGGGTTCTAGGGTTTAGGGGTTTAGGGTTTAGGGTTTAGGGTTTGGGGTTTGGGGTTTAGGGTTTTAGGGTTTTAGGGGTTTGGGGTCCAGGGTTTCGGGATGTTCGCGCGCTCGGCGTTCTAGACACCAATGAAGCCCCTGGCTTGGAGTTTAGGTTTAGGGTTTAGGGTTTGGGGTTTGGGGTTTGGCGTTTTGGGGTTCGGGGTTTTGTGGCTTTGGGGTTTAGGGTTGAGGGTTGAGGGTTCCAGCGATCTGTTTCTGCAGCGTCTTTCAGACTTCGCGCTCTAAACCCTAAACCCTAAACCCTAATCCCCAAACCCTAAACCCTAAACCCTAAACCTAAACCAGGATCTCCCTGGACCTTGGCATCGCCAAGTTCCGGTTCTCGCCGTGGCGAGCTGGCCCGAACTGGTGGGGTTTAGGGTTTAGGGTTTAGGGTTTAAGGTTTGGGGTTTAGGTTTAGGGATTAGGGTTTAGGGTTTAGGGTTTCGGGTTTAGGGTTTAGGGTTTCGGGTCTAGGGTTTAGGGTTTAAGCTTTGGGGTTTAGGTTAGGGATTGGGGGTTAGGGTTTAGGGTTTCGGGTTTGGGGTTTAGGGTTTCGGGTTTAGGATTTGGGGTCTAGCGTTTGGGGTTTAGGGTTTGGGGTTTAGGGTCTAGGGTTTGGGGTTTGGGTTTGGGGTTTGGGGTTTGGGGTTTTGGGTTTGGGGTGTAGGGTTTGGGGTTTAGGGTTTCGGGTTTGGGGTTCAGGGATTGGGGTTTAGGGTTCAGGGTTTGGGGTTTGGGGTTTAGTTTAGGGTTTAGGGGGTCAGAGTTTAGGATTTTGGGTTTAGAGTTTACGGTTGAGGGCTCATGGTTTAGGGTTGAAGGGTGTTTAGGGGAGTCGCTTAGTTTTAGGGTTTAAGGTGTTTACGGGGTTTTGGGGTTTTCAGGGTTTTGGTGTTTGTGCGGTTTGGGGGGTATAGGGCTTTCTGGGTTTTTAGAACTTTAGGACTTCACGGTTAGGGGCTTTAAGAATTTCAGGGTTTCAGGGTTGTGGGGTTCCAGGATTTAGGGTTTCAGTTTTTTTTGTTTTTCGGCATTTAGGTTTAGGCTTTTAGGGTTTCAGGTTTCAGGTTCCAGGTTCCAGGGGTTTGGGGGTTTTTGGGGTTTTGGGGGTTTTGGGGGTTTTGGGGGTTTTGGGGGTTTTGGGGGTTTTGGGGGTTTTGGGGTTTTTGGGGTTTTTGGGGGTTTTGGGGGTTTTGGGGGTTTGGGGGATTTTGGGTGTTAGGATGTTAGGATTTTAGGGTTCAAAGGGTTTTGGGGCTTAGGGTTTACAGGTGTTGGGATTCAGTCTGTTATGCTCAATTCTCTAAACCGCCGTTCCCTGTCACAATATGGAGCCTTGAAACTAAGATTTTCGAGAGGGACCTTTTCAAGAACTGGCCATGTACTTGGAGGTTCAACTAACTAGAACTGTAATTACTTACAACACACTTATAAGCCTCTTAAGTGCCCTACTATGGTGATAAGTGCAGTTATAAGTACAGTCTTAATTGGTTAATAAGTACCATGAACCTCCAAGTAGTTTCGGATCGGCTGATGTCGGCTGCCTCTGCCCAAGCGAGATACCTGACCCGACACAGTTTCGGCTGCGGGAACACATGTCGTGTGAAAGGCTCCCGTGTTGGGACTGCCGGTAGGGCTGTGAGGGCTTGGGGCGTCTATGAAGCAGGGTTTATATTTCTGTTATTGGTGAGTGTACATAAGGTTCCTTGTGAGTATTGGTGAGTGTATATATTGGGTGTCCTTTGGGGGTACAAGAAATATAAACCCTACTTCAATATACAGGGTTTAGGGAAACCCTACTTCAATATACAGGGTTTAGGAAAACCCTACTTCAATATACAGGCCTCTCTTCTCAGCCCCGGCTTGTTCCCCTAATCTTGCCCTGAGCCCTAAACCCTAAACCCTAAACCCTAAACCCTAAACCCTAAACCCTAAACCCTAAACCCTATAAAGAGCTAGTTTTAGGGTTTAGAGCATTGGATGGTCAGCAGGCGAAAAAAAGGATATGCGGATTGATCTGCAGTATGGGCCCTTGTCTGTAGCTTAACTATGGAGGAACGTACTACAAGCCCGCCCTGGCGGTCCTAACCCCGACCCCCTAAACCCTAAACCCTAAACCCTAAATCCTAAACCCTAAACCCTAAACCCTAAACCCTAAACCCTAAACCCCAAACCCCAACCCCAAACCCCAAACCCCAAACCCCAAACCCCAAACCCTAAACCCTAACCCTAAACCCTAAACCCTAAACCCTGCTTAAGGTGTTGCGGGGTTTATACGGAAGACGCTGCCGGCTGAGGCATTTCCGGGAGTTCATCAGCCGCTGCGGCCGCACAGCATAAGATTCTCTTCTGCTGGCGTCTGATTTGAATGTGCCTTATTCTGTTTAGGGTTTAGGGTTTAGGGTTTGGGGTTTGGGGTTTAGGGTTTAGGTCTTCGGGTGTGCTGATCCGAGGCTTTGCGAAGACGACCCCGCCACCAGATGTGGTACCCATCCCGCTGCCGGGCAACCCTCTGCAATGGAGGACGGGCGGCTGCGATGCTTAAGGCTAGAAGTGACCCTTAATCTTATTCCCCTATATAACCCCTATATATGTATATATATATGTATGTATATATATATATATGTATATATATATGTATACCTTTCTGTTGTAGTCACTTTTTTTCCCTAAGTAGCCCCCAAAATGACCCCTAAGGTCCCTTGTAAGCGTTCCTCCTTGCGTCGCCTCTTGAGATTCCACAAAGAGGGCCTGAAGGCCCCCTAAACCCGAGGCTTCGACCGTAGACTAGGACCCAGAGTAGGCCCAGGGTTTAGGGTTTAGGGTTTAGGGTTTAGGGTTTAGGGTTTAGGGTTTAGGGTTTAGGTTTTTTTTTTCTTAGGGTTTAGGTTTCGTTATCAGCCCCCTTTAAACCAGAAGGGCGCCTTGTTAATTCCTAGGTTGCTCTTGGGTGGGATGTTTAAGGTGAGCTACCCCTTGCGGAAGCTGTTGGCTTCAAGGTGAAGAACAAGTCCGTAAACACTTTTGAATCTTTCAGGGGGTTGGGCTTAGCACGTTTAGGGCTTCGGGCATTAGGGCGTTGAAGGTTCATAGAAATTGCTCATAAGTGAGACCATAGCTACCCTAACTAAGGTTGTAAGCATCGTTACACTAATTCTGACCTTTGCTAAACCCTAAGCCCGAAACCCAAAACCTTCAACCCTAAACCCTAAACCCTGAACCCTGAGCCCTGAACCCTAAACCCTATAAACCCTAAAGCCAAATCCTGACAGCACATGCTTCAGCGTAAACTGTCATGCAGCTGCGCCCTGCAAGGTCCTGGGGCTTATGGGGTTTAGGGTTACAGGGTTGGAGGTTTTTAGGGTTTGGGGTTTAGGGTTAAAGGGTTAGTGGGTTCGAGGGTTAGAGGGCTAGAGGGTTAGACGGTCGGAGGGTTGCAGGGTTATAGGGTTATAGGGTTATAGGGTTATAGGGTTCTAGGGTTATAGGGCTATAGGGCATTATAGGGCTATAGGGCTATAGGGCTATAGGGCTATAGGGCTATAGGGCTATAGGGCTATAGGGCTATAGGGCTATAGGGCTATAGGGCTAAAGGGTTTAGGTCATGGAAGGGCTTGGGGCTCAGAGGTTCCGTCCCCCAGAAAAGGGGGGCGACCCTTAAGGAATCCCCGGCTACTTCTTGGTGGGAGGGTTCGGGGGACCCTATAGCCGTATAGTAGAGACAACCATGTCAGCGGACGCTGAGGTTATGGAGCTGCTTCTATCTCCTTTCTTGAGACCCTAAAGTAACCCCAGCAGACCGCTTTTTGAGAGAAAGTGTCCTAACCCCTTAGCAGCCCGAGGGGCCCATCTAAGCAGGCATGCACCTAAACCCTAAACCCTAAACCCTAAACCCTGAACCCTAAACCCTAAACCCTAAACCCTAAACCCTAAACCCTAAACCCTAAACCCCAAACCCCAAACCCCAAACCCTAAACCCTAAACCCTTTTCTCATTGTCTTGAATGTCCGACCCGTACCAGGTGCAGCAGAAACTAAAGACTAAAACGGAAGATGCACTGAGAGGTACCAACCTGCCACCAAACAATGCAAATACTAACCCTCCCCCCCCCCCCCCCCCCCCCCCCCCCCCCTCTCCCCTCCCCCCCCCCCCCCCCCCCCCCCCCCCCCCCCCCCCCCGCCCCCTTCCCCCCTTCCCCCCAAAAAAAAGAACTAAACCCTAAACCCTAAACCCTAAACCCTAAACCCTAAACCCTAAACCCTAAACCCTAAACCCTAAAAACGCAGCCTTTGCCGAAACCTTTCTCCAGAGCCTTCGCCAGGATCCGCGTCACCTTCCGAGAAGGAGAGCTGCAGTGGATCGACGAGGTCGGGACAGCTACGCTCCCCATGTCAGACAGGGTTTAGGGTTTAGGGTTGAGGGTTGAGGGCTGAGGGTTGAGGGTTGAGGGTTTAGGGTTTAGGGCGCAGGGTTTAGGATTTAGGGTTTAGAGTTTGGGGTTTAGGGTTTAGGGATTGCGCTATGCCACTGCGGCGTCGAAGTGTCGGACCCTTTGAGGAGCCGCACGCCTTTTATGCACTTGTTGCCAACCTCCCTTTCTAACTGTGCAGTGCAGAAGAATGGTGGAGTCGTCCGTGGCCAGCTATACATCAAGGCTTCGAGGTTCCGGCTGAGTTAGGGTTTAGGCAGGAGGTCTAGTACAGGCCTGCTAACTACAGCAGCACCCTACACCCCAAGCCCTAAACCCTAAACCCTAAACCCTAACCCTAAACGCTAGAACCTAAATTTAAGAGCCTCCGGCTCAAGCCGCCGACCCCGCTGGAGCATAGTTGAGAGGTCTAAACCCGCTCGCATGGTTCGAAGATCATCCCAGCCACAGTTCTGTGAAACGTTTGGGGGGGGTAGGGGGTAGGAGGGGGGGGGGGGGGGGGGGGGGGGGGGGGGGGGGTAGGGGGGTGGGGGAGGGGGGGGGGGGGGGGTGGGGGGGGGGGGGGGGGGCGGACCCTAAACCCTGAACCCCCAACCCTAAACCCTAAACCCCAAGCCCTAAGCTCTAAGCTCCTAGCCCGAATCCCAGCCCAAAAGCACTTCGCCTCGACGAGGCCACGAACAAGCTCTTCGCAGTATCGCGGATGCAACAGCCCTGGGCTTGGAGATAGCCGAGAGGGTTTAGGGTTTAGGGTTTAGGGTTTACGGTTTAGGGTTTAGGGTATTGGTACCCTAAGCCGCACATGATAGGGTTTGGGCTTTAGGGATTAGGGTCTAGGGTTTGGGGTTTGGAGTTTGGGGTTTGGGGTTTTGGGTTTGGGAGGGTGTAGGGTTTAATAAGGTTTAATTATAGCATGTACAGGGTTTGTAGGGTTGTTAGGGTCTATAGGGTTTCTAGGCTTTACAGGGCTTATGGGGTTTAGGGTGGCTCCATTGCGTGCCGACCAGCAGGGGAGCCACCGTTTTTTGTGAACTGCTGACCAACCCTAAACCCTAAACCCTAAACCCTAAACCCTAAACCCTAAACCCTAAACCGTGAACCCTCAACCCTAAACCCTAAACCCGAAACCCTAAACCCTAAACCTTAAACTACCCTAATCTACCCTAAACCCTAAACCCTAAGCCCCAAGCCCCAAGCCCTAAACCCTAAACCCTAAAACCTAGACCTTAAATATATAACCCGCAAGAAATGAGCTCACTAGCCGATCCCCGAGGTGGGCCCTGGGAAAGACATGGGGGTCTTCACATGTCTGACGCAGGGTTTATATTTCTGTTTTTGGTGAGTGTATATAAGGTTGCTGTTTAATATTGGTGAGTGTATATACTGGTTGTCCTTTTAGGGGTACAAGAAATATAAACCCTACTATAATGTCCCCCTTTCGGGTGCCAAGAGGGCCTGGCTGACTGTCTACTTGGAGGTTCGTGGTACTTACTGACCAATTATAACTGTATTTTTAGCTGTACTTAAGGGGTCTAGGGTCTAGGGTTTAGGGTTAAGGGTTTAGGGTTTAGGGTTTAGGATAACTGTACTTATATCTGTACTTATAACCATATTAGGGCACTTAAGAGGCTTATAAGTGGGTTATAAGTACAGTTATAGCTGGTTAATAAGTACCATGAACCTCCAAGTAGGGTTGGGTTCGAAGAGAGTCCAGACAGGTCTGTCAGGCATCTCATTCAGCGCCACACGCCATGCGGTGCTCGGCATGCGCTGCTCTCAGGAACGCCCTGCTCGAGAAGCAGGGTCAAGCAGCCAGCCAAACGGAAGCCTCCGAGGGAGGCCTAAGGCCGGTGCCCAGATGGCAACCCTGGCCTCCTGGGTGGCCGAGCATCGGCCAGGCATCTACACCCCGCTTCCTGGGTGGGCATGGCAATGCCAGCTGTGTCAGATCGAGGTCAACTGTCACCGAACGTACAGTGGTCACAAGCGCTTCCTCGACCCTGAGTCTGCCTACCGGAAGAACCACATCACCGGGGACGTCTTGCATCCTTGCTCGCATGTGTCTTCATGAACTTCTGCCCATCTCGGCCTTATATTGCCACAAGGATCTTTTAAGCAGCTTCCCCAAAAACGAGACCCAAAACCCAAAACCCAAACCCTGAACCCTGAACCCTAAACCCTAAACCCTAAACCCTAAACCCTAAACCCTAAACCCTAAACCCTAAACCCTAAACCCTAAACCCTAAACCCTAAACCCTAAACCCCAAAAGGGCCCAAGGTACAACCCCAAGCCTCAAAAGAGACCAACCTGCAGGTCGACTGTCTTGCTGGACCTTCATCAGGACTCAGGTTTAGGGTTTAGGGTTTAGGGTTTAGGATTTAGGGTTTAGGGTTTAGGGTTAGGGTTTAGGGTTTAGGGTTTTGGGTTAGGGTTTCGGGTTTAGGGTGAAAGGTTCAGTTGAGGGTTAAGGTTCAGGGTTAGGCTGAAGGGTTTATGGTTTAGGGGTTGGGGTTCAGGGTTTAGGTTTTAGGGTTTAGATTCTCGAGTTTAGATTCGAAGGCTCATAGGCACTTGAAAGTAGGATTATCATGGGCCTCAATGGGGTTATAACCATAGCTACCCTGGTTCTAACCCTACTTCTAAGTACCCATGAAAATCCAAGTAGACCCTAGACCCTGGACCCTAGACCCTCAACCCTGAACCCTGAACCCTAAACCCTAAACCCTAAACCCGAAACCCTAAACCCTAAACCCTAAACCCCAGAGTGGTCCAGGACACCATCTGCTTCCGCAGCGGCCTCCAGAACTTCACGATCCAGGCCTCTTTCCGAAACGAACTTCGCTTAGGGTCCCGAAACCCGAAACCCGAAACCCGAAACCCGAAACCCTAAACCCTTAGCCCTTAAACCCTAAACCCTAAACCCCAAACCCAAAACCCTTAAACCCTAAACCCTAAGCCCTAAACCCTAAACCCTAAACCGCAAAACCTGGAAGGCTTGCTAGGCCCTGGGTCCAAGATTCAAGAGTAGGCCACAGTAGGCCCTTGTTCCTTTTTTTTGAGGGTTTAGGGTTCAGTTCCCCTAAATCCTCAACACTAACCAGAGAGCCCTTCTATGCCCCTTCGGTTTAGGGTTTAGGGTTTAGGGTTTAGGGTTTAGGGTTTAGGGTTTAGGGTTTAGGGTTTAGGGTTTTGTTCCTCGGTTACCCTTGGGTCTAGAAGCCTGTAGGCATGATTCGAGGCCTTCCGTTTTCAACACCTTCACCTGCCCACCACACCTGTTCATTACTCTTGCGGTTATGTCTCAAACCCTCCCCCCAAACCCGAACCCTAAACCCTGTAAATGCATGAACCCTGAACCCTGAACCCTGAACCCTAAACCCTAAACCCTGAACCCTAAACCCTAAACCTAAACCCTAAACCCTAAACCCTAAACCTTAAACCCTAAACCCTAAACCCTAAACCCGATAAACCTTACAAACTCTTTGGGAGGGTGACAGCTGCCACACAGGATCAGCTCTCGAGTCGCACGCCGATGATCCTCGAGTACCGGCAGAAGGCACAGCATTCTTGTGGCTTGCAGGGCTTCGGGCTTAGGGGTTTAGGGTTTAGGGTTTAGGGTTTAGGGTTTCAGGGTTTATGGCTTTTAGGGCTTTTAGGGGTTTAGGGGTTTAGGGCTTTTGGGGTTTCAGGGTGTAGGGCTTCCGGGCCCTTCGGGGTTTCAGGGTTCAGGGCTGTTGGGGTTTAGAGTTGCAGGTTCGGGGTGTGGGGGGTTTAAGGTTTAGAGCTTTTGAGTCCTTCGTGCCCCGTGAAAACCCCAAAGGCTCATACTTTCGCATCGTTGATCGAGTGAGAGGTTCGACCAGCCCGAAGACGTGACCTTAAACCCTAAGCCCCACAAACCCTATAAACCCATAAGCCTTACTTATACACCCTGTAAACCCTATAAAGTTTAGAAACTAGCCCTGAAAGCCCGAAGCCTTGAACCCTAAACCTCTAGTTCAGCCCAAACCCGACTATCTGAGAAGACTACGCCCCCTCCCAACAGTCCAACCCTAAACCCCTAAATCCTAAACCCTAAAAGGTCTAAGCCCTAAACCCCAAACCCTAAACCCTAAACCCTAAACCCTGACCCCTAACCCCTAACCCCTAACCCCCTAACCCCTAACCCCTAACCCCTAACCCCTAAACCCTAAACCCTAAACCCTGAACCCAAAACCCTAAACCGCCAAGCTCCGACTTCGCTAGAAGGCCGGCTACGTGCTGGAGATCAACGCCCGCGGGGGTCCCGAGATGCGGAAGTGCTCGGGGTTTGGGATCGGTTTAGGGTTCAGGGTTCTAGGGAGGTTTAGGGTTTAGGGTTTAGGGTTTAGGGTTTAGGGTTTAGGTTTTAGGGTTTAGGTTTGAGGCTTTAGGTTGATACTCCCGTTGTTCCTTGTCTCTGAAAAGAGGTCTCCATTTGAGCCGCCATTCAAGAGCAAGGCAAGAGTCCCAGTCGCTAGGGTTTAGGGGAAGGGTGTTGTTTTAGGGTTTGGGGTTTGGGGTTTAGGGTTTAGGGTTTAGGGTTAAGGGTGTTCTGGGGGGCTACCCTAAGTTGGGGCCACGATGGATGCTTCCTAGCGTCCGGGATGCTTCGCGTTTGGCTCAAGAGGGGCCTTTCCCCGAACCCTAAAAACCCTAAGCCCTTCGAAAGATACCTGGGGTCATGTGGTTGTTGCTGTGTGGTCGTGTGTCTTAGGGTTTAGGGTTGGTTTAGGGTTTAGGGTTTAGGGTTTAGGGTTTAGGGTTTAGGGTTTAGGGCCCTCAATGAAGGAACACACCGCAAGCTTTGCCATGAACCTCAAAGTGAAAGACCTACTTGGAGGTTCATGGTGCTTGTCTGGGTTTTGGAGTACTGTACTTTAATACTTTTTTTTGGTTCTGGGTTCCTAGTATAGCTACTTTTTCCTAAAAAGTATATACTTTTTTTCCAGGGTCTACTCCAAAGGTAGGTTGTTAACCACTTATGTTAACTGTACTTATAACCTTCTTACAAGCAACTTAAGTGCCGTAATATGGTGATAGGTACAGTCATAAAGTTATAAAGTACAAGTAGAGTTGGCGAATAAGTACCATGAACCTCGAAGTAAGCATGAAGCCTGAAGCCCAAGACGGTGCAAGGCACCTTCCTGCCGAAGTCACTGGAGTTCCGAGGCCACTCGGCGTCGAACTTCAACCCCGAAACAACCGTACAGCCCCTAAGCCCTAAACCTTAAACCTTAAACCTTAAACCTTAACCCTAAACCCTAAACCCTAAACCCCTTAACCCCTTAACCCTAAACCCCTAAGTCCTCCAGCCGGTCCTATGTTGATGTGTTGTTAACACCTTGGTATTTGCATCCAAGCACGGTGACGGCTTGTTTCTCTTTTGGAGGGGGGGTGGGGCTGGCTTGGGGCTTTTAGGGTTTAGGGTTTAGGGTTTAGGGTTTAGGGTTTAGGGTTTAGGGTTTAGGGTTTAGGGTTTAGGGTTTAGGGTTTAGGGCTTTTGCTTCTGTCCGGAGGCGAGGGGGGGGGAGGGAGGGGGGGTTCAGGGTTGAGGGGATGCGGATCCGAGTTCATTGGGGAGCTTAGGGTCGCTGATGCGGCCTGTGGCTGCAGGCTATCAAACGGAGGTGTCCATCCGCTTTCAGCGCGGCGCCCAGTATGAGAGCCCAAAGACCCCCGGTGTGCCCTAGGTTTAAAGGTTTAGGGCATGGGGTTTCGGGTTTAGGGAAAAGCCTAAATCCTGAGGTCCTGAAGCCTAAAGAAAGTCTGAAACCCTACACCCGGATCCCCAGCACTCTCCCCTGCTTCTATTCCCTTGCGTTTGCGGCTAGAAGCGACCCAAATACCCCTTCGTGTAAAATAGGATCTACATCCTACACGCCAGCGGTAAGAGGACATTTTTGGCAATTGCTTAGGCTCCTGTATTCCAAGCCAGGGCAAGTTTGTTCGTGAAGGGTTCGGAGGGTTTCAAGCAGCCACGCGCCATAAAGCCCTACACCCTACGCCCCAAACCATATACCCCTAAACCCTAAGCCCGAAACCAGAAACCAGAGCCAGCGAGGGAGGGAGGGAGAGAGAGAGAGAGAGCGAGACAGAGAGAGACCCTATAGAACCCTAAACCCTAAACCCGAAACCCTAAACCCTAAACCCTAAAGACGAAAACCGAAACCCTAAACCCTAAACCCTAGACCCTAAACCCTAAACCCTAAAGACTAAACCTTAAACCCTAAACCCTAAACCCTAAACCCTAAACCCGAGGTCCGTGCACTTGCAGTACATGGGGCAGAAGTTCCTGCAATGCTGGCAGTGGGCCCGGGCCTTGGCGAGTTGTGCTTTTTGCCTGCTCCGTGTTTGGGGAAGCCGGGTTCAGGGTTTAGGGTTTAGGGTTTAGGGTTTAGCATCTAGGGTTTAGGGTTGCAGGTTTAGCCAGGATTGAAGGTCTATCCAGGGGGTTGGCTGGGCTTGGGGGCGTACTTAGGTTCATCTAAGATTGAGTCAGGGTCTAGTTAGGTCTTAGGACGATGGTCAGGCTTCAGGGATGATTTAAGGGTGGAGGCTGTTGGATTTAAAGCTAAGGTTGGACTGAATGCTGCTGAAAACCCAGAGAGCCCAACATCTCCTAGTTGAGGTTTTAGGGTTTGGTTTTGGGGCTGAGGGTTTTCGGGTTCGTTCAGGAACGTACCTTACTCCATAGCCAGGACCTCTGCGTAGTTTTCTGGGGATGCCTCCGCCCCGTAATTTGCTCTACCTCGTGCCCATATGGTTCGCAGCCCCACCGAAACCCTAAACCCTGAGCCCTAAACTCGAACCCCTCAACCCTAAACCCGAAACCCTAAACCCGAAACCCGAAGTAAACGCGAAACCCTAAACCCTAAACCCTTAAACCCTAAACCGATCGGCCTTGTGCAGGAGGCTCAGCGGCTGGAGCCTTCAGGGTTTTTTCGGGCTCAGGGCGTGTCCGGAGGTCGAAATTTTAGAGTTTGCAGGGCCCCCCGCAGATGACCAAGGTTACAACCAGTGGGTTTAGGGTATAGGGTTTGGGGTTTAGGGTTTGTGGTTTAGGGTTCACAAGCATGGTTGTCCTAAACCCTAAATTCTACAGGAACCAGCTATGACTATGTCAGCGAACCTCCAAGTAAAACCCAGATCTTCGGCGCCTTCCTCCCCGCCGTCACCGCGGGGCGTCGGCAGCCGCCTCCGAGACAATCCCCGCCCAGCGAGGTGGGGTTTAGGGTTTAGGGTTTAGGGTTTAGAGTTTAGGGTTTAGAGTTTCGAGTTCCGGGTTCAGGCATTCGAATTGGGAACTGTTCAGGGCTTCGGGTTCAGGGGTTGGCATCTACTCGTTCGGTTCTCTATTTTCAGGGTGTCATAAACGACAGACGCGTTAAAAACCCCAAGCCTTAATCCCTAATCCCGAAACCCCAAACCCTAAACCCCTTTCTAAGCCCAACAAGATAGGCAAAGAACCGGAGGACACCGACAGCTGCGCTTCCTTCAAGAGCATCGAGGAGGCCCGCAGAGTTAGGAGTTGCGACTTGGGTCCGGGGTTTCGGGTTTATAGTGTGCCCAAACCCTAAACCCTAAACCCTAAACCCTAAACCCTAAACCCTAAACCCTAAACCGGTGTCTAGAGTTCCGGGTTGGGGGGATTATGGGGGGGGGGGGGGGGGGCGCTTTTATGAGACCCAGAAACCTACACTCTGGGTTTAGGGTTCAACCACCCCAGAATTCCCAAATACAGACTAAAACTCCTAAACTCTTCAATACAGGGGTAGCGTCAATTTTGTCGGAATAGACCCCCCCCCCCAACCGGAAGGTCTTGTTTGGGCCTTCTGAAAAACCCAAAACCTTTCAACAGGGTAGTGCAAAATCCTGGAAGCTCGAAGATTTTTCCGTGGGGTTTAGGCAAGTTCCCCTCTCACTCCGCCTAGTAAGACATGATTCCCTGGGCTCTGCTAACCGGTTTAACCCTCTGAGGCCCTAAGCCCCCCTTTAAACCCTAAACTCTAAACCCGAAACCCCAAAGCCCTAAACCCTAAACCCTAAACCCTAAACCCTAAACCCTAAACCCGTGCTTCTTTCGAGTAGGACGGGGATGTGCCGCCGCCACCGCGGCCACCGTCGCTCTCGCGACAGGTGCACCACGGACCCTAAACCCTAAACCCTAAAACCGAAAGCCTAAACCCTAAACCCTATAAGCCCTGTAAACCCTACAAGCCCCTACAAACGCTGTAAACCCTGCAAGTCCTGTGGACCTACAAACCCTGTAAACCCTGCAAGTCCTGTAAATCCTATAAACCCTGTAAGCCCTATAAACACTGTAAACCATATAAACATTTAAAAGCACTGTCAACCCTGTAACCTCCCCCTACAGCATGAAGCCCATAAACCCTACAAGCCCGAAGCCTTTAAAACAGCCTAGGAACCTTGACCCTATGAACCCTTCGGTAGACTAATGTTGCGTTTTGGGGGGTCCTTGCTCACATTCCGCTCTCTCTCTCTCTCTCTCTCTCTCTCTCTCACTCTTTTGGGCACCTATGAAGTGACCAGAAAATAGCGAACTGGCAGCTTGACCCTGTACCGGGTTTAGGGTTTAGGCGGTTTAGGGGGTTTCGGGGGATTAGGGGGTTTCGGGGGTTAAGGGCGAAACCCTACACCCCATGAGCCCCTAAACCCCAAACCCAAAGACTGAACTGTAAAACCCAAGCCGACCTTCCCTATGAGCCCGAAGCCCCTAAACCCTAAACCCTAAGCCCTAAACCCTAAACTCCTACCCCTAAACCAAGAAGCCTAAACCCCAAGCCCTAAGCCCTAAACTCTAAACCCTAAACCCCAAACCCAAAACCCAAAACCCGAAACCCGAAACCCTAAACCCTAAACCCTAAACCCTAAACCCTAAACCCTAAACCCTAAACCCTAAACCCTAAACCCTAAACCCTAAACCCTAACCCTGAACCCTAAACTCCAAGCCGACCTTCCCTACAAGCCATAAGCCCCAAAACCCAAAACCCAAAACCCTAAGCCCTAAACCCTAGACCCCAAACCCAGAGAGGCTTCCATCTCCCCCGCCCAGCCCGCGGCGGCGAACTTCGTGGAGCTGGCGGAAGGAAGCCCCCCCCCTCCTCGCCATACAGGGAGATTCTCACAACTCACAACTGGGGTTGGGAGTTTAGGGTTAGGGTTTGGGGTTTGGGGTTTGGGGTTTGGGGTTTGGGGTTTGGGGTTTGGGGTTTGGGGTTTGGGGTTTGGGGTTTGGGGTTTGGGGTTTGGGGTTTTCGGTTTGGGGTTTGGGGTTTGGGGTTTAGGGTTTAGGCCTTTAGATCTTCGGTGATTTTGCCCAGGGTACCGTTGATCAGGGTGGTCTAGTGGCGGTTCATCTTGCAATGAGGCACCATGAAGCCTCTACCCTGAACCCGAAACCTGAAACCCTAGCCCCAAACCCTAAACCCGAAACCCGAAACCCTAAGCCCTAAGCCCTAAGCCCTAAGCCCTAAGCCCTAAGCCCTAAGCCCTAAGCCCTAAGCCCTAAGCCCTAAGCCCTCAGCCCTTGCCCCTAACGCCTAAACTCAACCGCAAGTCAACGCGAATTCTCGAACCCTGACGTTGAAACCCTAAACCTTGAAGCCTATTTCCAAAACCCTACACCCCAATCTCTAAGCCCAAGGCCCTAAACCCTAAACTTCAAACCCAAAACCCTACAGCATGGCCCAAATTCTGAACCCAAAGCCACTAAACCCCAAACCCCAAACCCAACACCCAAAATTCTAAGCCCAAAGCCCTAAACTATAATCCCCAAAACGACTCGATGCCTAAACCCTAAACCCTAAACCCTAAACCCTAAACCCTAAACCCTAAACCCTAAACCCTAAACCCTAAACCCCAAACCCTAACCCCTGACCCCTAACCCCTAAACCCTAAACCCTAAACCCTAAACCCTAAACCCTAAACCCTAACCCTAAACCCTAACCCCAAATAGCTCTATGCCCACGACTCTGGAAGTGAAACCCTGCCTTGCCAAACCCTAGGACCCCGCAGACCGCAACGCCCGAGCGCAGCGTAAGTTCTGAAGAGTGCAAGGTTTAGGGTTTAGGGTTTAGGGTTTAGGGTTTAGGGTTTAGGGTTTAGGGTTTAGGGTTTAGGGTTTAGGGTTTAGGGTTTAGGGTTTAGGGTTTAGGGTTTAGGCCTGCACCCCGGCAGGAGAGCTGGCGCAGGAATCCGCGTGGCAGGCCTCCACAAGCGCCAGGGGTCTAGGGCCTATGTAGGGCCTTTCGGGACTTCCTCCTTTGGGCTTAGGGTTCAGGGTTTAGGGTTTAGGTCGGAATGTTTACTAATAATATTCCCTTATGGTCCCCTTTGTAATTCTACTACAAACACCCCCAAAACCCCATTCTAATTATTCAGGCCCCTGTAGTACGAATGTTGCTACGTCTACTCATCACACGGATCAATAACGCAGGGGTTTGCGAGGCCTGATCTTTTTATGGATCCAAGCCCAAGAAAGAGCCACCTTTCACAGGAAGCCCCTGTAGCGCCCCGATTCTTTCCCATTTTGGGGTTTAGGGTCTAGAGTGTAAGGTTTAGGGTTTAGGGTCTAGGGTGTAGGGTGCAGGGTGTAGGGTGTAGGGGTTTCATAGGTTTGTTTTTCAGGGTTTGGGGTTTGAGAAAGTCCTTCAAAGCAACGAACTGCAATTCTTCAGCCTCACCCCGCAAACCGCTCCTGTGACCCAGGCGGCGGAACAGGCGCGTGTGGGGATTTCCCATCATTTCGGGGTCTGTTGGTACTCAATCCAACCCGTCTCGGTTCGCGGGTCTATAGATTTTAGCGGTTTTGGGGGGCCTAAAAACCCCAAACCCTAAAACCTGAACCCGAAAACCCTAAACCCTAAACCCTAAAGCCCTAGATTCAGGGTTTAGCTTTCGGCAGGTTTGGGGGGTTTAGGAGTTCCGGGGTATTGCTTCGAAGGCTCTGTCATCCCTTCGTCTTCTGCAGTCCAGCGGCTGCTCCCTCGCACGTACGCCTGAAACCCTAAACCCTAAACCCTAAACCCTAAACCCTAAACCCTAAACCCTAAACCCTAAACCCTAAACCCTAAACCCTATAACCCCTAAACCCTAAACGCTAAACCCAACCCTCAGCCCAAAGCCCTAAACCCTAAACCCTCAACCCTAGACCCGAAACCCGAAGCCCTGAATCCTCAACCCGAGACCCGAAACCCTAAGCCCGCAAAACCCGGTCTCCGAGATACTTTTGCATGGAGCTCACTGTTGAACAGGGCCGCTAAGGCTCAGGGCTTTGGTCTTTAGGGTTCAGGGTTTGGGGGTTGAGGGTACTTCAGCTCTCCAATGACTAAACAGCAGCCTGGGCCCTGGCGTTTGCTGTTTAAGATTTGGGGGGTTGCCCGGGGTGTAGGGCGCAAGGTTGAACCCTCCTAAGCCCTAAACCCTAAACCCTAAACCCCAAACCCTAAAACCCAAACCCCACAGCGTCTCCACTGCCGTGCCCTGCAAGCCCGTGGGAGGTGTTGCGGAAGGCCGCCTCCGACAAAGATGCGCGCCTACCCGCTCTGACGAGGAGCTTATCAAGGGTTTAGGGTTTAGGGTTTAGGTCTAGGGTCTAGGGTCTAGGGTTTAGGGTTTAGGGCCAGGATTTCCGGGTTAGGGTATGGGGGTTTCATGTATAGGGTTTTTTGGGATGTTTGGGGGGTTTCGGGTTTCGGACTGACAGGGTTTAGAGCTTACGGGTTTGTTCTTAGGGTTTCAGGGATTGGGGTTCTTTTGGGGAAGGTCCGCTTACGCAAGCCGAGAGCCCACCTGGCCGCATGAGCCCCCCCGAGAGCCTGAAATGTAGATGCAACCCTGAACATTAAGTTGTGAGCCCCTCAACGTAAACCAGCACAACCCTAAACCTTAAATCTTTGGTCTAGACCTTGCGAATTTTGTAGTTTTTACTATTCATTGTTTTGGGGGGGGGGGGGTCACTCAGGGGCTTTCGTCAAGGAAAGGACCCTTCTGAAGGACCCGGGGCTTAATGTGGGCCCCGCCTAGTTAAGGGACTTGTTTGGGCACGCAGAAGAGGCCACATGTATTTGGATCAACGCCGCTTTTCACATTCAGATTCTCCACTCCCGCAGAGCCGTTGTGAAACCATCAAAGCAGGCACCGCAAACTCGCTACCCTAGAAAAAAGGGGCCTGTAACAAGCCCCAAACCTGCGATCAGTGCTTGCTTCGCGCAGAAGGTGTCAGAAGCAAGTTGGGTCATCCCACAGCGGTTTAGGGCTTTAGGGCTTAGGGCTTAGGGTTTAGGGTTTAGGGCTTAGGGTTTAGGGTTTAGGGTTTAGGGTTTAGGGTTTAGGGTTTAGGGTTTAGGGTTTAGGGTTTCGGGAAGTCCTCAGGCTCCGCATCTTCTTTGACGACCTTGTCGTGTCTGTGCCATTGGCAGCTGGCTCAGTGGGTTTTTGGGGTTTCTGCTTGGAGGTTCATGGTGCTTATTAAGCAATTCTAGAGTTTAGGGGTTTAGGGTGTAGGGTTTAGGGCTTAGGGATTAGGGTTTAGGGTTGAGGGTTTAGGGTTTAGGGTTTAGGGACAACTGTACTTATGACTGTACATATAACCGTATTAGGGCACTTAAGGGGCTCATAAGTGGGTTGTAAGTCTAGTTAGAATTGGTGAATCAGTACCATGAACCTCCAAGTAGGAGCCCCAGAACCGAAAGCTTAAACCCTAACTTGGGATGTTCCCCCTTATACCAACAGTCCTTACTAAAGATCATAGTACCCCCAGATTCGAATCCCGATAAAAGGACTGTTCGTATAAAGGGGGAACAGCCCAACCCCAAACCCTGAACCGAAACTTACGGCCTCTAGAAGGTCTGATCCCCGAATTCCCATGGCCTAAATTCTATCGAGTTGGTGACCCTCAACCCTATAAACCCCTGAATCCTGAACCTGATAAGCCAGCCTTCATCCGCAGCCCTAAGATTTCAACCCTAAACGGTTTGAGGAGTGCTGGGCTCTTGAAGGGGAGAGCTAGGATTCGAAATCAGGGGACCCCCTAAACCCTAAACCCTACATCCTAAACCCTAAACCTAAACCCTAAACCCTAAACCCTAAACCCTAAACCCTAAACCCTAAACCCTAAACCCTAAACTCGTCTTTTGTGCCGAAGCCCTTCGAGCCCCCCAAAGGGGCCGAATCTAAAGCCCCCAGTTTAGGGTTTAGGGCTTAGGGCTTAGGGCTTAGGGTTTAGGGTTAGGGCTTAGGGTGTTTCAGGGGTTTTGGGCGCGGTGTCGGACTTTGGAAGCGGTTCGAGAGTGGTTGAGGAGTTCCCGACCTTGAACCAGTGCCGACGAAACTGTTCGAACTCCGGGAGACTATACATGCTGATTTCTCTGAATTAGGGTCCTGTTTGGGGTCCCTATTATGAGGCGGCCCCCTCTTATTTAGGGTACCCAGTCAGGGATCATTTTGAGAACTGACCACATGTTTTGTAGGGGTGGTCAGCATGCGTTCCCGATGTTGGTTTGCAGGCCTACAGGTTAAGATATCTCAAGCCCCAAACCTTCAGCCCTCCAACGCAAGAACCGTAAACCCTAAACCCTAAACACTGAACCCTAAACCCTAAACCCTAAACCCCAAACCCCAAACCCTAAACCCCCAACCCTAAACCCTCAACCCTACAGAAGGGAGCAGCTGAGGAGCTGGGGGGGAGAAGCGAGATGCCGGCCG